CTCTCGTTCCGACGACCGAGGTTTACGGTACTTCGAACCGCGAACAGCGCGCGCTGGTGTATCGCTTTTTATGTACATCGCCTGCTCACCAGCGCCGATACATTACGTCCGTCGTCGCGTTTATGGCACTGGCCAATCCTCCCCCTTTTCTTTTTTCTCCACACCAACCTGGCAATTTCTGCCTCGCAACTTCCGCCTCGATCCATCCGCACTCCGCTACTTATCGAAACGCAAATGCCTTTTTTGTAAATAGATGACGAGTTCTCGGGTATCTCCAACATTTCTCGTCAATCTCGAGAAAATGGCGATCGTTGGAGAACAAAACGAGTCGAACTGCAGAATGACTTACCTTACATAATCGTCGCGTCGAGAAAGAAGATATTTTCGTCTCGAAATACTTTTTTTTTTTTATTTATAAACGATGCACGATGTTGGAGGTGCTCCAAACGCTCCTCTTTATACGACAAGAAATAAATATTCTATTCGCGACGTCTTCGTCTTCATGCGAGGACGTATCATATTCGAGGTATAGCCAGTCCTTGACTTGTAGATCAGGAATAAATCGATCGCACGGATATAATGCGATCGGGGCAGTTTACGAAATTACAAGAGTTCCCCGGTGGGAATCGACGTTGGGGGGGGCCGAGGTAGGAAACAGGAAGAGGGCCGCGATGGCGGGAAACGCACGCGCGCCGAGTGAAAGGAGAAGCCAGATGAGAGAGAGAGAGAGGTTCGAGCAACAAAAACGGTAAACAAGCTTCTTTCGTTGCAACGGCGACTTGGATTTATGGGGCTCCACTGTCCGGTCTATGGACCCCCGGCTTTATACGAGCGCGCACCAACCACCGAGGTTCCTTTCCGCTCTAGGATCCGCTCCCCCTCCCTCCTTTTTTCCCTTTTACGACGCTTTTCCTCGTCCGCGACGACCCGTCGTTTGTAAACCACCACGCGCAAACTTTTCTCAATCCCTCGCATTTCTGTCTCGCGTCTCGATTCTCCGCGTTTTCTGAACTCAGACTGGAAAAGAAATGCGCGCAGGTATTTTCTTGTTCTTTTTTCAACTCGACATTTTTTCCCAAAAATGCTCTCGGACTTGAAATTTCGCCTCCCTTATCGTGACTTTCGGGAAACGAGAGCGAACGGATATATCGCGGCCATATATTTCTCATGTAAAATATTGAATGAACGAAGGTATTCCGATATTCGATACTTTTCGCGACGACCTGCGCGTCGCTCAATTTCCACGACGCCGGGATTGCCAGCGTCGGCGTCTCCACCGCAATTATTCGCCGTCTGCGCGGCGACGAAATAATTACTTGGACAGTATATAACTACGGAACACTATTATCCGCTCTCCGGAGAAGCGGCTCCTGTCACGAATACAAACGACGCGACTGGTACTTGTGCTCCTCTCTTTCATCGAACTTTCGGGAAAATTGAAATAGTTCGGTCGGTCGCTTAACTTCCGCCGATATTCCTGGTACAATCCTCAGTACTCCCTCGGTTCATCACAGACAACCCTTCTCTCTCTCTCTCTC